TAATAATCGTTAAATGTTAAATAATTCCCGCTGTAGTGTTGCCAAACTTTAATGATTACTGTAAAATTTTATGTTAAAAAGAAAAAGCCGTAGAGCTTATACACCAAATCCTTTGTGGTTGTTTGATTGGTAAGACGTTGCCAAATGTCATGCCAAGAGATTAGAGGAATACAAATGTTTTCCTGTTTTATAAGAGAATCATTATTTCAATACTGATCCGATATCATTGGGGTCGCCTTACATATATTTCATTTCCAGCTTTTTGTGTCAGAAAGAGGTTATTATCAGGGCATCACGAAACTGCAACTATTGCTTTTAGAGGCCAAGTTAGGATTAACTGAGCGTAGTATTTTTTATTTTTATTTTTTATTTCAATGTAACCTGTTTAATGATCAATTTAGTGAGAGAATATATAGAGAGAAACGACAATGTCGTGAATATGCCAAGTAACCAAAATAGCCTGCGGCAAAATAACACCTAGCTGTCAACATCTCAGTGATGTCGCGGGATAAGAGCTTTTAATTAATAATGTAAATAAGGAAAAAATTACGCGCGTTTGATTGGCTGAAAACGAGTGCAAAGTTGTAACAGGAGAGAAACGCGATGACGAGAAAATTATACTGATTCGAATCTTAAAACTCGCTAACTGTTTAGGCCAGTTCTTCTTGCTTTTGTTTGACAACTGCAGCCTTGTTTAGTGTCGAAGGCTCTCTAAGTATCAACCCTCAGCCCGAACAGATAAAACATGAATCACGAGGAGATATCATCTTGCACTGTGGAAACCGCAGATGGAGGAAAATGTATCAGCTGTAAACGTCAACAAGTAGATAGTGCGTGCAGTTGGTTTGTGTGCACTCTTGGTCTGATATCAAGTATTTTGATTCTTGGATTCGTGTTTAGCTTTGGGGTATTGAATCCTGTCTTTTTAGAGGAGTTTCGACGGGGAAAAGCTCGCACAGGTAAGCCGCCATAATTCATTAGAAAGAAATAGAGTTACATCTGTGTCATAAAAGGTCGTTATTTTCCCCTTTTTTCAGTTATTTAAACATTTTAAACTTTTGTTTGGGGTCGAATGGAGGGGACAGGATTTTTCCAAGGACGTTCTTGAATGTTGGTTTTGGAAATATAAAGAAATTCCAACCCAGCATCTGAGTATATCTGCAAATATGCTGAAACATGTCTCGAGGCAAAACAACTTGGCAACTGACGACAGGGTCAAGTAAGAACGCCATTTGCATCGTTGCGAGATCGCGTGATAAAACAAGACTGAAAAGTCTTAAAAACACAAAGTTGCAGCTCAAGTAGTCGTCGGGTTTGTAAAAAATATGAACACTTCTTCCAAGGAGCGTCAGTTCAGCGTCTTGCGTAACTTTTTCTTATTTTAATTTCCGCCGACCGAAAGATTCGTTTTTGCTGCTCTGAATTTTGGCTTTGACGCTTGACCCGACGTACAGTCGTGCTTTACCTGTTTGGTTTAACCCAAATTGTAAGTTATAATCAGTTCGTTTCTTGTGAAGTTCGACGTTTAGCCTGGGCTTTAATTCATTTGGCAACAGATACAGCCCAATATCGCTTCCTGTCCACATGGTAACATTTATTAGCCATGTCCTTAAAAAGAGAACTTCGACAAATCTTACAGCCTCTGACAATTGCATCGCCGAATCCTCCGGGAATGCTTAATAGATCGCTTCTTCTCTCCACCTTGGCATGCCAAATACACGAATTTGCATGGTATTTTGTAAACGGACACAGGACGGTACGTAGAACGGGTGGTAATTTATCCTTTGGTAAATTCGAGACACGCAAGACACCGAGACTAGAATCCCATTCACACCAAAGCTTAATTTGAAGTTGCTTTGTTAAACACACTTTAATTTTTTTTTCTTAGTAGAAACAACTTAACCTATTATTTTTCTACTTAAAACTAGACCCTGTGAGTAGAGTAACTGGGATACCTGAATGGTACTGGATCCTTGAGATCAAGTGTAGTGGCACTACGGGTGTCAGACTAGTATACTGAAATAATGAGCTCATATCTGGCCAGGGAGATACAGCTATTTCAAAAAAGGTTGTCATCTACTACTTGTGGATGCACTTCTTGAAAATAGAGATGACCTCTAAATTCCAATTTTCTTTTAAGTTTCAACAGTATTATTCCAGATCTTTCATGGGGACATGGTAATATATTGCATGTTTGATCACATTCAACAGGTATATTAAAGATTGCACCTTTACTCTTTCTTTGTCGACCTTTGGGCACAACTATTGATTTTTCAAACACTATTCTCTGTGGTGTATCTGTTCAAGCTTCTCTAGAATGGACAACTCTGGTGGCAGTTCATCAACATGTAATTTGTTATCTACAGCTTGACATGGGATTTGCCCTTTCAGAACTTTTGTGTGACAGGTTTTACAAATGTACTGATTTTCATGAAATGACTATAAGTCAGTAAATAGTTCTTGCTGAGTATTGTACATTTGTTTTTTTTTACTGGATAACAGTTTTTCTGTATAGTGTTCTATTACAAACAGAGCTAATTTATTATAGACCTTCCCTAATCTTAGTTTGAAAAGTTGTGATCTTATGATCTAAATCATGTTGACCTGAGTTTCTATAGGTTTCCTTATTAGCTTGGACTTTTGATAAAATCTTATCTTTGTCTGCAGGATCCAGTGTTTTATAACATTCTGTTCTGCCAGACAAAAGTTTTTCTTTTTCTTCAGGATTCAATGACTTATACTATTCTGCTCTTTTTTATTTTTGTGCAGAATCAAGCAAGTTAAACCATTCTGCTCTCTTTTGCTTTTGTGCAGTATCCAGTGATTTATACCAAATTGCTCTGCTAGACAAAAGGTTTTGTTTTTCCGCTGAACCAAGTGATTTCTACCACTCTGCTGATTTGAACAAAAGCTTTTCTTTTTCTTTGGGATCCAGTGATTTGTACCATTCAGCTCTGTGAGATAAAAGTTTTTCTTTTTCTGCAGGATCCACTGACTTGTACCATATTGCTTTATCAGACAAAACTTTTTTTTTCATGGCAGGTTCCTTTTGTGCATAGCTTTCTTTTTTCCTTTTTGCCTGTAGTTCTTTCTGACTATGAGACATGTTTTGCCATTACCTTTTGTCTTCCAGCATTTGACAAATTAGTTGAACATATAAATTTAATACAATATTCCACATCTTTACTCTGGAATTGTTTTTTTTTACATCCCCCAATGACTGAATAGGAATATCTATGTCATTCCTTTTTGCAAAGATATCAAGTGTGCCATTAGGACTGAATTTAATAATAAAGTACTTAACACTTTTTGCTTTTGTTTTCATATTATTGTGCTGAAAAATACAGCTGAAGCAATAATTTGAAATCCACATTAAAAACCCAGTATTATCCTTAGTATTATCTGTGATTAACTTCTGAAGCAATAATTTGCCTTGTTTCTCCAAATTAAAGGCAATATTATTATCTGCATCATATATTTGAAGTGTCCTCGGGAAATTGTTAATAGTCAGTGGATGGTTATCACCATGAGATTTTCTTTGTAAACTTGTTTGCATGGTCAGTGATTCTATCTAGAGTCTGTGAATTCCAATACCCACAATATTTGATAATGGAAAAACAAATGCTATAAAAAGATGTGGCACAACAGGGAATATGAATGGTTGTATAATTTCAGCATCTGCATGATTTGCTTCAAGGGGGACAGCTGACAACTGTTGATCAGAAATATCTATCATATCACATTGTTTTTCATTAATATGTACACCTTTGAGTTCAAATAAAACATTTTGATTTTGATAAAGACCTTGAAAATAGTTTATCAGCTCATTTAAGGTGTTAACTTCTAACAGTACACAAGTTCCTTGAGGATGGGGCATATCATATGAATTTCTACCATGAGAATCAAATATCTTAAACTTACCATCACCATTACAGTAAAAGCCTACTGTAGTACTAAGGATTGTTAAAAGAAAGGAATTACAATTTTGTCCTAGCAAAGCCTACATAGCATTAGCAAATGACATACAATAATTGAAATCTTGTACTTCACAAGTACCATGTATAGTACCAGTAAAGCTTGGACTATATTGAAGCTGATTTAACAAATAGAGAAGCCTTGAGTGTGCTCTGTTCTGTTATAAAGCACGCAGGAAGCGGCTAGAGCACGAAAGAAGTGTAGGGAGAAATACGAGACGTAGTCGAGTGTTTCTCCCCACTTCTTTCTTCTTTATAACAGAACAGAGCACACTCAAGGCTTCTCTATTTGTTTTATAATAAAGAATCCATTAAATTCCCCGAGCATTACTTTCAATTTTCAAAACAAACTTTATTTCCAAAGCGAACAACAGTGTCGTCAGCATGCTCTATACTCTCATAGAGCACTCTACAATAAGCCAATCAGAATCCCTGTTAGAATGGTTCAAATAATCTGATTGGCTGTACAAGACTAAAGCTGTCAAAAGTGTCAAATCATCAAAGTTCAAAAACCATCAAAGTCCACCTTCTGCGATCGTTTACAAACTAAAATAGTTCGGTAAGTCGAATTTAACACTTTTGCCTGAAGTTTTTAAGTCTCTAATACAGAATCTTGAAGTGAAATGTTCAATGAACTTCAGCTGAATTGTGGCTCATAAAAACACGCGAGTTTTTTCACATGACAAGGTATAAAACAAACTGTTCAACTACACTTCTTTCGTGCTCTAGCCGCTTCCTGCGTGCTTTGTAACAGAACAGAGCACAGTCAAGGCTTCTCTATTTGTTAATTAAAACTCGCAATGTCTATTTTGTGTTTCCTTTGAGGATTTTCGTATCTGCTCACGTTTTAATAATGTAAATTACGGCGCCTGGTATGTTTACAAACCTTTGTTTGATTCTTCTGTTGCTACTTGCCGGCTCTCTTCAGTTCCGAAATTTCACTTTCAATTATCGGAAAAAAGCTAAAAAGAAGTCCCGGAGAAGCTCGAACATAGTACAATTTGGCAGCTCCATGCTCTATACTCTCATAGAGCACACTCTTTCAACCAATGACAGCGAGCGTTATATCCGAACTTTATTATAAAATTAATTATCATTTCAGGTACTTCTGTAAACAGTAGATAGGATTGCCTGGATAGACTAGATAGACCAGAATGTAATTCATTACCAATGTTCATGATATTAACCAAGTCCACTGAGGATACAATACCATTCCTTTTGTTATATATGAGGGAAGCAAGTGACATGGCTACCAACTATGTACCAGCATTTAACCCAAACATTGCCACATTGTCTTGACTGTAAGGAGCTTAAATTGTTTTAGTAGAATTAATAACAGGGCCAGGTTTTGTTTCTATATCCCTAGATAGATTGGACTTAAAATGATTTACCCTGTGATTCAGATTTTTATAAACATTTGGTACTGAATTAGACCTCCATGCATTTGACTGCTTTGGCTTTGGACTTTTTATTACATGTGGATATTGGTTTTGACATTGATATTGGTTTTGATTTTTGATATTTTGATATTGGCAGTCACGAGAAAATATCCTTTGGATATTTTCTCCTGACTGCAGAAGAGGGATATTTCATTGTTCCTTAATTCTCACATCTAAATCCACGTGCATATATTTTTCCACGAGCTTTATTTGTAAAAAGATGCATTCGGGAAGACTTCGGTATGTTTTTTCCGATGTAGGTTCGAAGTAAACGTCTTACTTTCCTGAATTTCTTCAAAATACGTGTAATTCTTTTCTTTGGTATTCTGCAGGGCTCACGATCACGAACACCATGCGTACGAGGGCGATTAAAATAAACAAATTTGTCGAATCGAGATCTACAGTTACAAACTGTATTTATTGAAAATGCTTCATCATTGCTATCATTAAGCTTATTATCATATACAATAACAGATAACTGAGCAGCTTTCACAAGTACGTTACATTCATCCAAGCTATTCACAGCAGCTTTTGTTGAAGACATATCAATAACTTTACGTAGAAATTAGCCCACAAGACAATTCCGTAAACAATAGATTACATGATAACGTTATACACAAAAAACACAGGATTTTGGATCATGTATTTATTAAGAAAGAATATCCATACAACTACAGTGAAAACAAACATAAGATTCACCTTTCTGATCGTGAAATTAATACCATTCGTACTGTTATCGTAGCTACGTTCCTTAGCTTCAAGTGAATCCAAAATGGCGTCTTTCTTCACAAGCAATTTGCATCCATTAGAGTTTTGTTCTTCAGTCTCACGGTAGTAGTGTTTAATAAATAGATTCCAAGTTGCCGTGCGTCTGTTCAGTAATAGATCACAGAGGACGTCAAAATGTCGTAAGAACAAAAAAGTGGCACACGAGGCGCAGCCTAGTGTGTCACTGATGTTCTTACCACATTTTGACGTCCTCTGTGATCTATTACTGAACAGACGCACGGCAACTTGGAATCTATTTGTTTTATATAATAAAGAATTAAAAAAAGTTTTAATGATGATGTTATCTAGACGTCTGTCCTCCAATAGATCATAAGTGAGAACCAATCAGAATGCGTGCATAACTGAGCTTATTATATAATGTTCAATAGATTGCATAGAGTATATGCAGTTTGGTTTCAGATTTAAGATTTTGCTTTTTTTAACAAGTGTACGTTTTTCTACTAAGACATTGGCATACTTAGCATACAAGGCATACAAGGCTTTCATGGCTTTCAAGGCATACAAGGCTCTCATGGCTTTCAAGCGTGCGCGACTCAATCCGTTCCAAAAATACCGCTCAATAACATCTTTTAGTGTGGATTGGCCTCGAACAATACGACTTGTGTGTGCGTCTGTAAGTATTTTGAGCGTTTGCACTATAAAGCTCCAGGTAATCGTAAACCAAAGACGTTGCACCTCCACCACCAAAACAACAATATCATAACAAATAAAAAATGGCTAAAAAAGGAGTTTTATAGGCAAAAATCTCGGGTTCGTCATGTGACCCGGCCCTGTCCGTGCACGACAACGTCAATCATCATCAAGATAACATACGTGATCAGCATGTGAACACCTTCACTCTCATTAGATCACAGTTAGTTGTCATGGTGTTAAGGGCCCAATGACCACTGGGTACTATTACGCAATTTTTATATTTTGTGGCGAAGGAAAAAAAAAAGACAAAAACACAAAGGCGTTTTATGACTGAGCTACCACAGGTATCCCAGTAATATACTTGAATCCTATGTAAAATTAAGTTTTTCCAGTTCTCTCTTTACGATTTTCATTCAGTATAAATCAGTCTAACCAAACATGTTTTGCTGGTGTGAATAGGATATTGATTTGCCCCAGGGGAAATATTTCATGGTTCATAAATGTTTCCGGAAGTATGATATTAGGGGTTTTCGGATTCACGGTAAGCTATACTTAAGAGGCCTTCGCAACTGTTTACACACATCGAGAAATCTAGCCACATTCCGTGCTGAAATGTTCATTCACTAGACTCGACTTTCGTTTAGTTAAGAATAGATGTCAGTTTCACAAAAGCTCTCTTGATACAACATGTGATGCAGTAAAAGATTCTTCACGCTGAAAGAGACCAATAACAACCTAAGTTTTTTCAGAGCGCCAAAAATGTGGGAAAGGTGTTGTAAGCTGGTTTCTGTGACAAAAGTATATTTGGGAGCTTAAGCATGAACGCTTTTGAGACGCGAACGGCAACTGGAAGTTAAAAGTTCTCATTCCTGCTGCTCACTCCACCTTTCTGGTTAGCACAATTTGGTTTAAAAACTGAAGCTAAGACGACGACTGTATAGTCGATACTTTGACGTCAAAGCGCGCCAGGATTAGTTATATTCTTCTTCCATTTGGTGTCTGCGTCTCAAAAGTTTCTCTACGTAAGTTCTCTATCATCCCACAGAGGAAGGAATCCCCCCCTAAAGAGAAACGAATAAAAACGCTTCACGATAAAACCTCTAAACGTTCGACAGGGTTCTGTTAAGGGGCGAAATTTGCCGATCTCATTATTTCATCATTAGCGTAAGTCTAAAGTATTAAGAAATTTCAGCAACAACCTTCTCTATGGTTACTAACATTTGTAACGTTTTGTCTCCTTTTTTTACTTCGCAGCATGGGTGGGATCCCTGTGCATGGCGTGTGCGTCGTTCTTTGGACCTTTGGCGGCAAAACTGTGTGATCGGCTTGGCTGCCAGGCCGTCAGCATATGCGGCGCTTTGATATGCATCGCTAGCCTTTCGGCCAGCTCTCTAGTGCCCTACATGTGGATGTTATACTTAACATACAGCTGTTTGTATGGATTTGGCGCTAGCTGTGTTCACACTGCTCTGTTTCTAGTGGTGTCTGCGTCTTTTGATAAGGGACGATCTTTAGCCACAGGGACTCTTGTGGCGGGTCATGCTGCAGGCATCATGATCGTGTCTCCTGTTTTACAGATTTTACTTGATAATTTCAGTTGGCGAACTTCATTTCTCATATGGGCCGGTTTGACTTCCCCCGTGTGTGTATTTGGCTTCTTTTTCCATAGCAACTTGAAGAAAGGCCCCGGTTATCGAAGAAGGTCAACAAACGATCAGGATGAGAGTTATTCGCAAAAATTTTCAATCTGGAGACATCCGCCGTTTGTAGTTTATACAGTGTCAACTACCATTTTGTATCTTGGACTTCATATTCCACAAGTTCATATGGTGAGCCTAGAACATGAAATTACCACACCCCTTTTTCTGTCTAGAATAGTAGCATGCCCCTCCTCCCCCTCTCCAGTTGTATAACTGGCGGTTTTTCGGGCGTCGTAGCCCTCCGTTGCCGCGATGAAATTAATAAAGGCACAGAAATCACAAAAGCGAGAGGCGGCACGTAAAACGCCAAACACATATTTACCAGTAGCACCATCTATTTTCTGCTTTCAACATGTTGACTTCAGCGCTCACATGTAGGCACTGTGGTCTTAGGACATTACAATTTAACTCCCGTCAGAGTTAATTGATGGTCAGTCTTTAAAATTCTGACTCCAATTCACTCCCTACACTGTACGCTTGTGGGTCATTAGTTTTTGTTAATTTTGTGGATGCACCCGACGCCTCTTCTAAGGGTTAATTTAGACAAATTGAGCTCTTTGATTAGCACAACGGACGAAAGGCAGTCACAGCTTTTCTTTTGCCATGATCATTTTCCATTTCCGACTGCAACTCTGCCTTTTTTTTCAAACCTTTTAAGTGGTCGATTGTTCTCGAAATGACCCGGGAAACGCGACCAGTCCATAATTCTTGACCACCTTGGATTCAAACTAAGTTTAGAGGATTTTTGTTTGGAATAAGGACCATACCGTTCAAAGTAATGATAGATTTGTCTTTCTCTTTAAAAGGCAAGCTTCTGCAGAGATCTTGGTATCCAAAGTAAACAATCTTCGATGTTGTATCTCGGGTTTGGACTTGCTTCAGTGATAGCCAGATTGGTTGTTGGAAAACTATGTGACAAGAGATTTCACGCACAGCACATCTTCCAGGTTAGAGTAATCTGCGCCCAGGATCTCAGCGTCGTGGCACGAATAATAAAGCTTGCAAGATTCGAGCCGGCAAGCGAGACAAGCGTGCGAGAGGTCTGCCAGAACCTCGCGGACACCTCGCGCGTCCACATCACAAGCCTGCACGAAACACACACGCTTCGGCGCTTATATCGTAAGCCCGTCGATTAAAAACCCGCTTAAGGGCTAAGGCTAGGGTAACTGTTACAACATTTACTACGCGCTGATGATTGACAATTGAATTAGCCTCCACCAACTGTAGTCTCTCCTTTAATAAATCAAGCTGGGGGGGAAGACAGAAAAGGCGTCTATGGGGTGGGGGGTGGGGAGCAGAGAAATACCAGACGAAGTCAAGCCTTTCTCCTTATATCTTGAACACACATTCTTCAAGTCCTCCATGCAATCAAATTAATCTTCTCTTTTATCTAAGAGTTTGATTGGCTGAATAATCTCTTGTTTCACTGTTGCAATGGATTACTGTTTCGTAAGAAGCTTAGCAAAACGTGCAATTTATGGACTGTTTCAAAGTAATCGTTATATTTAGCCTGTAAGTATTCCATCAGTCTACTGAAAATAAACAACTCCTTTCCTTTGCATTTGAATTAATCGAAGGGAACATTCAATTTGTCCCAAATTACTCTAATTGCCAAATTGAGCTTATTTCGCCCCTATGCTGTGATTAATCTCACTGTTTTAACCGATCTGAGCGCGTGTGAGGTGAAAGCCCTGAGAAATGACCCGCAAAAACTATCAAATTGATAGGTAACAACATGTATCATAATACATACCTTGCAGTACAATTAAAAATGATTTGTTTTCTTTTCCCTTCGCATACTAGGTAGCAGGATTTGTGATGGGTGGCGCCACACTGCTGTGCCCCGTTAGCTCCAGGAGTTATGCTCTTCTCATGGTCTATTTCGTGACCTTTGGTTTCGCAGAGGGGTCATCGGCCACGCCCATCAATTATCTTATTTTAAACTGTGTACCTGTCACTCATCGTTCCAAGTCCTTTGGTTTCTGGTTATTTTTCTTATCTTTGACTATGGCTGTTGGACCTCCGTTTGCAGGTATTAAACTACAGGCAGACAACCCTGTGAGTGTAACGACATGTGAAAACTATGAGAGAATTGTGGTGCGGTTACGAATAAAGGCACTGAAAATAAAAAGATTTTCAACGTGTGTTGAAACCTCAAATAAGGGAAAAGAAATGTCATTGTACCAAAGATTAACCGTTTTCTACCTCTCCATGCTATTTAAAATGCCATTTTACAGAAACAGTCCCGATCGTTTCACTAAAGATTTTCAGACCACAATGGATTGAAAGTGTTACTATTCGGTGCTCGTGACCGCCAGACAACCTTTTATGCTTCTGTATAGTATGTTTTACCACTCAACACACCCACAGAATGGTCCGCCTGAGATCAAACAGCAAAAATTCAGTTTTTAAGCTAAGCTTCTCCCTTTATTTCCTAAGTCCTTTCTTCTCTTTTCTACCAAGTTTTGTTTTTTTTTCATTTTTTCACTGAGGTGAGCATGGCGAGGGAGGCAGGTCACTTTGTTCTCTAATGAATTCTTGTAGTTGAAGTAAAGAAGTTTGAGTCTGTAATATCTAACAGTTAACAGTTTATATTCATGTTGTTTCATTTGGTCCTTTTAGGTTTCATTGCAGACGAGTTAGGATCGTACATACCTGCTTTCTACATGTCTGGCTCGCTCATAATGAGCAGCGCGGTCGTAGTATTTATCCTACGTTATTTCAAAAAACGAGGTGATCTGCCGAAGAATGATGGCCAGACGCAAATGAAGGTCTCGCCTGAGGAAAGTAAGACCGTGCTGTAACCCTCCTTTGCGAGGAAATTGTACGGGTTTTGTTCTTTGTGCACATCGTTCTGGCTCCTCTCGTTCGCTAAGGCCTCACGCGGGGTATATTTTCCATTGCACAAATCATTTTCTGCTGCGTTGGAGTATGTATCACAAAATCACAAAATCCGTTAGCCTGTTTCAGAATCTCGGTTTATGGACAAGAGTAAAACAGCAAGCGGGCGACCCTGGTAGCGTGGTTCACAACGAAAAACAGCATCTTTTCTTTCCGACATCCCCACCACCCGTTCCCAGTCGTCTCCAAAATGTGAAATGTGTGCAGAGCTTAAGTAGGAGAGTTACGAAAGACGGAAAGGAGGAAACAACATCGTCTTCTCCTCTCGCCTTCTCGAATCACTCTGACGAAGGGCTAACGCTCGAAACGTCAGCTTTTTTACCCTTTACGGTGGCTAATTTACGTTTTCAACCCAGTTGTTAACACTAAATTACCTGCTATACTCTCCCACCGATGCAGCACCACAGTTTCTTTAGAAACTTACCCCTTTATTCTCCCTACCTATCACATTTCGCACTCCCACTCTGCCGGTGTTGCTTTCCTCTACTTTGAAAACCACCAAGAACAAGCCAGCGCCCCTCGCTTTTTCATATGACTCCCCCCTGACCGAGAGCCTCCGTGGGAGAGGTTAAAATTTTTTATAATAAGGCTTTAGTCGAGGAAGCTCCGCTAAATGCTACACCGATAAATAAAAACTTCTTAACTGACTGGAATACGGCATTGTTTTTATTGTTCATGTCATGCAGTGTCACTTACGTATCTAACGCACTTAACATTTCATTATTAAACAATTGGTACCAACTTACAGCAAAGTCTCAACTATTTATAATATACTGACTAAATAGGATACGTTGAAATGATATTGGTTTAATGTCGCATTTTTTAAAAGTTCACACTTGCACACGTTAATTGAACGATATTTTCTATCGAGAAAAAGCTTCCGAACAAATCATGGAAAGAAACGATCACCTTCACTCTAAGAAAATTAAGAAGATCCGCGTCAAGCCACTAAAATTTGATTGTAATATCCAATATCCATCAAAGTGGTCAACGATACTGCGTGTTTAGCTTTGCCTTTTTGACCTTTTAAGTTGCAGTTTTTCTCTTTTCAATGAAATTTAATCACATGAGCACCACTAACGGCATAAATCATATTAGTGGCTACATCACTGTTTCCAGGATTTGTTCCAAATTATATGCTTCTCATTTGCAATCAGTTTCAATCTTCTCCATTCTTGACTGTTCCTGTTCGTTCTTATTTATTATTTCCAATTTGGTGTTTTCTATCGAACCAAACCAATATTCTGTGGTTTCTTTCAATGTAAAACTAATTTTTCCGTCAAAACAAACGACTCAAAATTAAGAGGCCAACCTCCTTTACATCACCCCAAGGAAAAAGATCCGGATCGAGTTTCCAATTTCAAGAACACTTTAACGCCTCAAAAGGACTAATTTCTGGCCGAGTTCTTTTGAAAGTACCTTGAAAATCACGATACCTTGGATAGACTGATGAACGACCACTTAATCCTAGATAAGGAAGCATCTTGGCGCTGAATTCGAAGCAAAGCAGCTTATTTATTATTTATTTTTATGGAGGATCTTTACTAACTTATTGTAATTATAATGTCCATGTATAGGCAAACAGGACGGACCATACAGCCTTCACGTGCACTGCCACAACCACTCGTCCCAAAATTGCAAACTTTCTTGCAACTATAGGAGTAGTGATTTCGTCAAGCGAGTTGGACCAAGGTTACCTATACATGGGCTGGATACCACGCGCTCGGATGATAGATGGGCGTGCCTTACTTAACGCGTTGAACAAGAGTTTTACTGTGTTGCTACTTTAGCGCGTTGACCTTCAAAGGTGTTTGACCATCAAAGAGGGTGACTGTCACGAGACCAGTCAGAGAGGGCGGTGGGTGTGGCCATATTCTCGAACACCTACAAGAGCCTTACACCGAACAGTGATCGAGTAAAGTGGATCACATTTACAAATGCAAAACAAAGTGATAAAAGACCAGCTTATTACTAGCACCGGGCTCAGCCTGGTGCTTTCAACGTCAAAACATAATGCAGATGAGAATGTGACCCACATCACAAGGATAATGTCCATATTAATGCACAACAAAGTGCATTTGTTTTGGAGGCAAAAGGCAGTAAAAAGGCTGTAAAGTCCATACGAGTTTGACTAGGAATGAAGACATCAAAAACAGGTGTCACAAAGGTAACATTGGCTAAAAAGGAGAATCGAAGATAACTTCTGAACACTCACATAATCAACCCCTACAGTTCGCTCAGTGGAAATGTTACCAAACCAGTTATAGGTTTGCGCATGTGCCTTATTATGATTTTGCTTGAAATCGCATTTAAAGGTCAAATTATACAAAACATTCTAAATTCATTACGAAACTAATTACCCCCTGACCGAAAACAAAAACTTTGCGAAACGAGATTATCTTTGTGCCAAAGCTTTACTAACACTGACCCCTTGAACTTCTGCAATTACAGCGATAAAATTCATTGACACTTTGGCCTATCAGTCCCCTAAATTGCGTAAAACCCTTCTTACATAGAGCATTATCTTCCTTCTGTCGAAAGCCTTTCCTGGAGTGTCGCGCAAAAGCGTCCAAGAAAAATTGCGTGGCCGCAGGAAACGCGTGACGACAAAATTGCGCAACAGTGCCAAAAGAAAGATTAACTTCAAAACGAAGTGAGAATGATTAGTTGCCGGCTTGTTCCCAGGTCTCTCGATATTGCTTGGTTGGGCAGGGTGTCCCTGGGAACAACATGAAAGTCCAGAATTAAGCTACAAAACTGTCCTTTAGAAAATAGCTCCGTTTGAGATTATCTCTCCAGATTTACAATGTATATTCGCAAGAAGTAATCATTACAGACCACTTTGATCATCCAACATCTTGTGAAGGCTTCGAGTTTAGAATCTGACCTATAAAGAAAAAAGTTTTACAATGCTTTATCAAGAAAGATGAAAAGCATTCTAAAATAAATGGCAGTCTATGACTGTATGTGCTTACTGTTGTATAGTTGTAATATATTGCAGTAAAAAAACAATGTGGTGCAAAATTCAGAGGGGTTGATGAACAGCTCTTATCACTGCCAAAATCAAGACAAAGGAGGACTTGGTTAGAACAGAGTTTGTACCCTTTTATTTTTGTTGACATGTTGTCAAGGCCAGAAAGGCTAACTTCACGAACGTTTAAGAAGAGTTATTAGGCTTGCCATTAATGAAAGAAGTCTATAGCTTGACTGAAGATCCCATCCCCTCATCTATTCATTATTTGCAGTTTATGTAGGTCTAGTGAGTTCAATCAAGGACAAACCAGTGCTTCAATTTACCTGACTGCCAGGGACAGGTCCAAATGGGTCGCCAGGCTGTGCAGGTCTCTGAGGTTGGAACGGTTGAGATGGAAACATGGAGCCCTGTTGTGGAGGGAACATTACTGGCTGACCGGGTGGCTTCACATGTTAAAACAAAAAAAGCAGACAGTGCCATAAGACCCCACAACAGCTACATGTAAACAAAAATTCATCCTTGCTTACACTCTAACCATCTAAAAGGTAATTTGTCCAATTGATAGCCATACATTTCTTTGTTTGCTGGAGCAAGGAATATGTTGTTAAACATACATTAGTAACATCCTCCAAAAAAATTAATTTCATGCCCTGCTTAACGGGAACATCTAAATCTATTTACGAAACAATGGCAAAAATAACATTAATGATACTAATAACAATAGAGAATCTATGAGAAACAAGATTTCTTTAGAAAGCAAAGAGCCAAAACAATGGGAAGGAATGAGAGAGAATGAAAAAATGAAAAATCTGCATGAGGGGTATCAACATTTCCTTTCTCTCAATTTCAGTAACTTATTAATACTGTACATACCATGAAAGGCTGTGCCATTGGTTGAGGCTGTGCCATTGGTTGCGGCTGTGCAAAGGCTGATCTGAATCCAGTTGGCTGCTGCATTGATGGCATATTTGAAGCTGGTAAAGTTGTTTTTGCTGTAATGGGAGCCTGCCAGTTTGGTCCACCAGTTTTACTCTGTGGTGCTGGAGCTGTCCATTGATGCTGTGTTCTACCAGCGGTACCCATAATGTTTCCATTGGTTAAGGAAAATGCATCTATAATTCATAAGAAAAAAGTCACTAACAGGTATCACATATTCAACAAAAAGATTTAATGAATTTTAATCAAGTACTCATGTTTGAAAAATTTTGCATGTACATGTAACATATCTGATTTCTTTACTAGCCTGCATGCAGGCCATCATCATCAGCACTTCAGCTACCACAAGAAAGTATATGTCCTTGAGCAAAACAAATCGCTTGATAATTAATAGTGCCAGATCCCTGGCAAACAATGCCCCAACTCATTTAAAATCTTCCTGAGGGTGAGAAACATGTGCCTCATTATGTAAATAATGAGGTCCTACTAAACAGCTAATTCTTTATGTCAATTGTGAATACAGACTCTTGCCTGCAATTTTGTGGCACTGTGAATAGTTACCACCTTGCAAAATGTCACACTTTCAATGTTTGAAAAACTATTAATGTAACTAAATTTCACTGACCACAACTAATGAAGGTCAATGGTGGTTAATTTTAATCACTGAGAGTTCATTCTGAAAATCCTTTTCAAATTGAGGGTGCTAATTCCTTGCTGTTTCAAATTAGAACTCTTTTGATTTAAGTTACTTGGGAATAGCTTCCTATTAAAATTAACCCATCTGTACCTTGAAAGCAAGGCTTGGGGTTGAAATTGTATTCCAATGTACACATGTATAATAATTATAATTTATTCAATTGGCACTCTCCAAATAACCTCAGCTGATCAACAGATTTATATTGCGTACATTGTATATTCTCACCTAAAGACTTGGCAACTCTCTGCAGGCTGGAATGAAGGTCAGTTCCTGACTGCTCCCTGCTCATACCACTCTCCACCTGTGCTGGTGGAAGTCCTCCACCAGGAACTGTTGGGAGCAAGATGTCTCCCAGACCTTCATGACCTTGAACAGTGCTTTGTTTAGCACCAAAAACTGCTGCAAACTCATCCTGTCCTTGGCTGTCAAATGGGTTTGTACTGCCGCTGCTGCTGGTGAAACCTGTTAACGTGCACAGTAACAAAAATTGTGATGTGTTCAAACAAGTATGAGAGAGTTGTCACACCTCCTCCAGAACACTATCCTCTTCTATAATATGGTTTCAGGACTACAGTACTATGAACAGACTAGGATGATTTGCTGAGTGCTGATGAATAGGGCCGAAAATGTTAGTGCAAATTTGTGAATACCACAAATTGCTG